TTATAACGTCTCTTTGGCTGAAAAGGCGAGCATGTTCAGCGACGGGTTTCGATCACATAATCCACAGTTTATGAGTCGAATGCCCAAACTACTAGTCCTTTTTTTATGACATAATTTGACTTATATACTTGCAGGCTTACCCGAAAGTGGAGTGATATAAATCAGATGGTCAAAGCTGCCTGGTTTCGAAACATTGAAACGCTGATGATTCGTGACAAAGTAGAAATTTCAGAGGGTATATTACAATAAGTATTATAAGAAATTAGTAAAACAAACCTCCAGTTTTTCAAAGAAACGTGAACTTTGAACTTGCATTTTTAATGGAGTTTTGATAGTGAAAAGTCAAAACTTAAGATCACTATTTAAGAATATTCTGTATAGTTACTATTGTCAATATAAAAAAAAAGGCAGGGGGGATTTTCGAGCAATCAGGAAACCCCGTCTCGTGGAAATGCTATTGTACTTGTGAGGGTATTAGCACTTGTCGCACTTAAACTATACGTCCTATGTGAAGAGTTGCAAATATTTCTTTTCTTTTACTCTGTTTTCATTTGTTAAGTTATTGATCGTACTATATTTAAGATTCACTTATAATAAGTTTTATTTTTATGTATAAAAACAGCGCGTTAATAGTATACCTACAAAGTAAAGGTTAGTTTTAAGCCAAGCGATGGCGCTCCAGCTGATCCCTGCTAATTTTTGGAGTGTTTACTCATTCTAGGTCAAATATTACATGCGCGGCTGTGAACTTAATGGCCCAACAAACTGTATCAACTGAAACACACGTATAATACTTATACTTAAGTATATCACGAAAAGTGTTTCCATACCTTTATGCAGTTTCGTTGATAGACGTTCTGCTGCTGGACATTTGCAATTTTTTTTATCATAACGTAGTTTATTTTCAGGCTTTTATCGCAAGTGGTAATAGACAGTAATTCGTGTAATATCAGCAAAATTAAGATGTTGCAAAACGCATCCCTCGTAGTAGTTACATTACGATGCGCCTACGTAAATAAATGGTAATAACATTTCTTTTTCCTAGGTGACATAAAGAGTTAAACAGATGTGAATAATAAAATAAAAACTAGTAATGGTCCCCTACCCCTCCTATGGGGGTTCCTTTATATATTACAATAACCTTAACGCGTGAAACTCTGAACACTATCCAAATAGATGTACTTCCGCAGGGTCCCCGAAATCGTTCATTTTCATGAGTAAATAAAACCAAAATTAAGAGTAACAAATATTTTTATTTCTTCCTTATGAAGTTCATATGTCATGCTTATTAAACTGTTTTGATTTGCTGATTTTACTAGAACTTATTAAAAACATAAATATATTTGATTCATAATAAAAATTCGAGTCAATACTGTATTATTATTATTTTTCTCATATTTTTATATTTCAATTAATTAAACCAATTCAATAAATTTGTTCAATGATATAGAGGGCGCTATTTTTGAAACACATTCCCTATTCTATTTGAGTTTAACTCTTGAATCGAAAAGTATACACCATTTAATAACACGGTAAATGTATACTAATTACTAAACAGTCACGTGATAACTCTTTATCTTGCACAATTATTATAAATACAGTAAACAGATTTTTACTGCAGTAATAGGTGTAGTTAAGCAAGTTTTTTCCCCCTGATTAATGTACTGTTTTGCTGGTGTATAAGACAATACTTTTTACTCTTAAATCAATGCCCGATTTTACCCCTCGTTCAAGTTCCAGTAAGAACTCTCCAGTTAATAACATATTTAACCAAAACTATGTTGTTCCTTTTACTTTTGTTTACTATTTTGTGCAAGTGCGTTGACATCGTGCCACCTACTGCGTTACAATAACATATATAACGAGAGGGAGGCAGCAGTCT